GGTACTGCGCGCTCCTGTCTGAAATCTAAAGGTATGACAAACGTCGGGCGGTGCATCAATCAGCATGTGTGTCTGTGCGTTCCTGGTGATGTCGTTGGTCTGGTCCTACCTCACAGAATTCGAGATCGTGTTATCATGCTGTTCGCTCGGGTGTCTTTTGGCACATATCTATATAATCGAAACGGGCACTGGGTAGTCTGCGTGCGTTTCAGGGCAATGGATTGGAATTTCTGTGGAAGCGGCAAAAAAAACATCGTTCTGGGCCTGTGCGTGGGTTGGGAGAAGGGGTGGGATGGGGCGCTGATCAGTTTGTGCGTGGGGGCACGTGCCTAGCAGAATTGTGAGTTTCATGTGCGCTGCGGGTGGTACAAAAGGCGTAGTATTGTTTAGGCGCTTTGGTAGTTTGTTGAATTTTCGTCCGCGTGTAAGTTTTTGCTTCAGGAATAAAATTCGGCATCCTGGGTAGTCGAGGCCATTGTCGGAATCCAAATGTTTGCTTGTCCAATCCGTTGCGCGCAGGCCCAGAGGAAATTGGACAACCTCCGCAAGTTAGTTGCAGTCCGAAACAAGAATATCGCGCCCGAGGCGCTCTGATGCAATCCGCGTGCAATTTTACCGAAAAGATGTTTTACGTGATTTTTCGAAACGTTTTAACACGCGTTTCGCACACATTGGCTTGAACGTTTTGGCTTCCACTGTCTATTTCAAACCCTATGGTGTACCATGTATTAACGTTTGCAGCTGGCGGTGTCAAGTTATACGTTTCCCATAACTCTGTGCGTGATGTTGCTGGCGTTTCTATATCCGCCGCTGTTTCCAACCAGGCCGCTGAGGAAGCCCGTCGATGTTTAACCGTTAGCTCGAAAACAAGCAACATGCTAACGTAGTTTAAAGAAGTCTGGCTCTCAGATCACGTGTTTCTGTTTTGGCGCACTAGAACAAAACCCATTTCGAACTATTTCCGCGGGGCGCCCAGGTCTTGATTTGCCGGAGAGAATCCCGCAAACAATGTTTTTTTTTCATAAAAACAAAAATCTGTGTCGGGTGACCCGGACACTGTAGCAGTGGTGATTTGTTTTGAATGCCAGTCCCTCAGAGGAAGACCATCTCTGCCAGACGCACTTCAACTTCGTCGTGTCGTTGTCGAAGAACTTCGCGCTGTCCAGCATGACGTACTCCGACACCTACCCTGGGAAGTTCCTTGGCCTCCTTGCTTTTGATGACATCGAGCAGAAGGCTGTTCTCTTGGACATACAGAGGGATTGGCGCCTGCTTCAGTCACTCGAAGCATCCGACGACGAGTGGGCAAAGCACTACCTGAGACAGTTGCGGTGGCCAATGGAACAGTGGACCAGAGAGATGTTCGTGATGCTGTATGAGGAGAGATTTAAGAATGTGAGTAAAGAGGCGTTCGACAAACTCTTGGGTTTCGCGAATTCGTGGATGTCGACCCTTATCAACGAGGACCTCTTCAACCGTTACCGTGCCAGGGAGCGCGCGCACCAAGCGAGCGTATTTGGCAGGGTTTCTCGCTGGCACAAGGCAACCACCACTGAGTTGATCAAGGAGTACGACAGAAAGGAGATTCTGATCACACCGACTTCCAAGAGCATGAAGCTTGTGATCGTGACGCCTGACTTTTGCAGAGCTGATATCTCGGAGTTCTCGCTGGACCCGCAGTTGCTGGACGTCTTCACGGACGCGGCGAAGGAGTTCCCACACTTGAGCGGCCAGGGGATGCTGAAGCGCGGGATGGCGTGGCAGAGTGCTCGCAAGCTCCAGGGGGACATCGCCGAGATGAAACTATCCTGGCTGTCCTTGTGCATCGAGCCTGGCATGTACGTGATGGGCCAGGATGCGTCTCCATCCGAATCTAGTGGGCCTGGGACAAATATGTTGCACCGTCAGGATGCGTCGCATCCTGTGCGGATGTTTTTGGATGGGCGGCCATGGGGGTGCGTCGATGTAGGTGTTGAAACAGTTCGAGCCTAGATGAATCACAGGAGCCACGTAGGATCTAAACTAGATTTCAGAAGCGTGGCTCGGTCGACTGGCAATCTGGTTTGAAGCGTCTTGGGTGTCTTGATGGCGCCAGCGGTGCCAATGCAAACCTGTTTCTTCCGATCTTGTGCGCTTCCTACGTTTCCACTTGGCGTCCAATCTAAGCCTTCTACTGATTTCTGGATTGGTTTCGGCATGCGAACGTCGATAGGCGTCAGAGGCAGCGTGGGTAAACCTGGACTTGGCTCAACCTTTTTCTGATTCCTCAGGTGGGATCGTCATTTGCACCATGCCATTCGGTTTGGTGGTTTCGAGGGCCACGCTCGCGCCAGTCAGGGGCACGACGGACATCCACATTGTTGAGCCCCAGAGCGCGAAGCACAACCCCTCCGACATGATCTTCATCATGCCGATCAACTCCATCGATGGGCTGAAGCGCATCAAGGTTTGCAAGGTGATGGCGCTCTCGCCGCTGGGGGCTGCCAAGTATTCTGCCATGGTCCCAAGCAATGGCCTTGCGGCTCGACTGATCATCGACAATAACAAGACCGAGAACGCTCTGAAGATGGCCGCGCTGAGAGGCCTCAAGGAGCTCGACAGCTTCTGGCTTCCCAGGTTGATGTCGATGTTGAAGATGAGGTTTACTTCTGCATCGAGGCCGACTAACGTCAAGGGCATGGTGACAGCCATCATCAGGGAGATCATCCCAGGCGCTTCCGACGAGGTGATCGACAACGCGCTGTATTGCAGAGGCCAGGCCCACGAGACCAAGGGTGCGACCTCAGTGCTGTCGGACCCCGAGAACTTGGAGAAGATCGAGACGGGCCTGGATACGGACGACATGTTGGTCGTGAAGAAGGCCGCGGAGCAGGTCAGGGCCAAGGTGAACTACAACAAGCAGCAGGCCAAGGAGAACAGCAAGGACAGGGTTGGCAAGGGTGGCGCTGGTCCTGGCCCGCCCGAGGCGTCTGCATCTAACGGAGGAGCGGCGGCGGCGGCCTCGTCGTCAGCTTCTGGAGGCGGCGCCGTGCCCATGGAGCTCGAGGCGGCGGCGCCAGCGGCTTCGACAGCTCCGAGGGCCTGGACAGTGCATGATGATCCCGCTCCCGATGCAGACGTCGAGCTGGCGTGGGCCAGGAGGTTCGCGCCGCCCTTCGCGACGCTCCAGAAGGACGCGAAGAGGTTCCAGCGCTGGGTGGGCGCCTACCCGAAGCAGCTGCCGCCCTTCTCGGTGAGCAAGAGCTGGGGCCCGAAGACCACCTACACGGTGAAGACGGCGCTGATGTTCGCGCTGCAGACGTTGTGGCTGTGGCACGAGGAGGAGACGGGCGAGAAGTGCCCGTGCGCGCTGTGGGGCGACAGCGCGGGCCTGCCGCCGTGAACAACTTCAAGGCGGGGTGAGGCGCCAGGTTGCGCTGCAAGTCGGAGCTGGCCCTGGAGGGCCAGCTTCACCTCCACCTCCCTCCTCCATGCAGTCCATGACCTCCAGATATGATAACATGGGGTTCCAATGATTTCAGGTTTAGTTTTTGATTCGTTGTAGGTGCTGACGCTTAAGTATCAGGGGTCCGAGGGCCCGAACAATCACACATATGAGCTCATTGCCTCACGATGTTGGCTTCGAGTAGATAGTGGTTCAAGAAATCCTTCGTACGCAATGTTGGGAGTACGTTTGAACGGAACGGTAAACAGTGAACATAGGAGCCATCAACATATCCTCCACGCCCTCGCAGCCCACGAGTTTCGCACAGCGACGGTGACAGCCGCTGTGCCAGCACGCTTTCTGTTTAGGGGGCCGCGCCGTGCGGCCTCCTGGGACATCCCAGCCACCGCAGAGGAGTCTGAACGGTGGTGGCTGGCTGCCAGCTCGCTGGAAAACAATGGGAAACAACTAAGGGGGGCAGGTAACCGTTCCAAGGCGCATGGGTTTGACCCCCCCTTCCATGTTGACTCATCCCTCCCTGGGTTTCGGTCTGAAACCTCACGGCTGCCTCACGGGATCTCGATTGAAACTCATTGTTGTTTGATGGGTCTTTGTTTGACCTCCCTTGGTGGAAGCGCAAGTCTCTATGTGAAATTTCACGGCCTACTCGTGGGTTTCTTCATGTACTATCCCAGACGATGCTCACAGCTGCATTGCCACATGCCCTCTCACGAAGGTGCTGCTCCTGGGGATCAGCTGCATTCCCTTCCCCCCCTTTCCAAACGAGGAGGAGGAGGGAGGGGGGAGAGGGAGGAGGAAGAGGAGAAGGAGGAGGTAAGGAGGAGGAGGGAGGAAGAAACAGGAGGAGGAAGAGAACAATTAACATACCAAAAGATGAGGATGAAGTGTCTCAGAACGTAGTAAGGACGATGAGGACATACATGCAGACGGACAACAGAGCGATGATCGTGGGCAAGGAGCAATAGTGAGATCAGGCAGTTCCTCTTCAGACGCATATCGGATAATAGCTAAGGTTTCGCCGCTCCGCCATGATCAACTAAGCATAATAGTGGGGCTCAGCCTTCTGATTGTAACATCGTTGATGTGATGCTCGCAAATGTTGGACGGTGTGGTGTAGCCCAGCAACATATCTGAAAATCCTTTTTTTTTTACAAAAAAAAAAAAAAAAAAAAAAACATCCCTATACCACCCATGGGCTATACCACCCCAATCCAATGCCCCAGGGAAGAGAGAGAGAGAGAGAGAGAGAGAGACAGAGAGAGACACAGAGAGACACAGAGAGATACAGAAACATCGATCGCACGGCCGCAGCCTTTGCCTGGCCGGCGGCTTGCTTTCCCGAGGCGATGGCCCAGGTATCGGGGGCGGCAAAGAGGGGGGTGATGACTAGGGGGGGGTGGATATCATGGCGGGGGCCATGATATCTCCCCAGATTTGGTGGCGCCTCTTCTTATCTCATTACGTCCCTGGCCCCCCCGCTGGGCCGCGCACATGCCGCCGGTCATGATTTGCACCCCCCCCCTCTTGGACACCCCCCTCTTGGCCGCTCCCGAAGGTGAACGTGCGGCACCACAAGGACCTCTTCGAGGCCGACTCGGAGGCGCACTCGGCGCCCCGCCCTCAGCAGCGGCCTCTGCCGAGGCGGGCTGTCGCGGCAACAGCCCTCGGCGGGCGGCTTCGCCTCTTCCTCCTCCTCCTCCTCCTCCTCCTCCTCCATCTCTTGCATCTCCTCCTCCTCCTCCTCCTCCTCCTCCTCCTCCTCCTCCTCCTCCTCCTCCCCTTCCTCGCCTCGGGCCTTCACGGCCCAGCTCGAAGGTGGCACGCAAAAGACTGTGCCGGGAGCTCCTCAATCAGCCCCCCGTCGCTACGCTGCGTTGTGCTACGCGTCTGGCCCCGAGGCGCCTTCGCCTGGCCCCGGGACGTCGTTCCACGCCTCGGGATGAAAAGCCGGACCCCGAGAAGAAGCCTAGATCCCCGGGTGCCCCAGTTGCGAAGAAGCTGCGCTGTCGGAGAGGGCCCGCCGCGCTGCCTCACGAGATCGGATCCCGTCGCGGCGTCGGACATGCCGGGGGCAGCGCCCTGCAGCAGAGGCACGAGACACGGGAGCGGGGGTGGGGCAGATCTTGGGCGCTCCAGAGAGCGGTGTCGGTCTCGGGGGGTCGAGAGGCTGGCACCGCTTCCTCGGCGGGGCGGGTGCTCCCAGCCGGGCCGGCCAGGGGGCGCGGCCCTCCCTCGCCTCGTCCTCCCGAGGGGTCGCGGCTCGAGGATAGGTTTCTGGATGTGTGTCGCCCATCTTCGGGCCTCCGCGGGCGACCAGCTTCGAATGCATCTCTATCCCTGGGAGCGGCAAGCCCAGGGCGGTACCAATCTTAGGGATGTGCCCTCAGGAACGGAGGGGATCCCTGAGGTCGGCACCGAGGGAAGGGGATGCCAAACACAGGGGTAGAGATGTACGTTTCAAGCTGGCAAGCGGGGATTCTCGTCGCCGCGGCTGGATTCCGCGCGAAAGGTTTTTTCTGGCAGAACGAAGTCCAGAGCAGGTCGGGGTGCCGCTTGCGGACCCCGGATCGAAGGACCCAGACTCCAGGCGGGTCGTGCTTTCCTCCTCGCGGCTCCGGGATGCAGTTTTCCGGGCTCCGAGGCTGTACTGCTCCTCCTCCTCCTCCACCACCACCTACCTCCTCCTCCTCCTCCTCCTCCTCCTCCTCCTCCTCCTCCTCCTCCTCCTCCTCCATTCCTTTTCCTTATAAGTAGCTTCTCACTGACGCACCCCGAGGCCAGTTTGTAGGACGGGCCGGGCGTTTCGCCTTAGACTTCCTTACCATGTATGACCCTGAAGCTTCAAGCATGAAAACAGTTTCACTGATTGAGGGCGAATGGTTTTCAACATGTGGCTCTCGCCTTAGCGCCGCGTGCATTCGTTTTACACATTTGCAAGAGCTTCACGGATTGAGGGCGGGTGGTTTCCAAAACGTGGTTCTCGCCTCAGCGCCACGCACATTCGTTTTGAGCATTCGCAAGAGCTTCACTGATTGAGGGCGGGCCATTTTCAAAATGTGGTTCTCGCATTAGCGCAGCGCACATTCGTTTTAAACACTTGCAAGAGCTTCACGGATTGAGGGCGGGTGGTTTCCAAAATGTGGCTCTCGCCTTAGCGCCACGCACATTCTCTTTTTAACATTTGCAAGAGTCACACGGATTTCCATGATCAGCGTACCACAGAAGCTTTCTCTAGGAAGGATTCAGAATTATGAGGGCGCAACAGTTACATTGATTCGCTGTGCTGAAGTCTCAGGAATGGTTTTCTGGCACGGATCAAGATCTTCAAGATGCAACAGTCAGATTGATCTGTGGCGGTGGAATCCCGAGAACATTGTTCTGGCATGCTTCATGGTCTTCAAACGATTGCCTTCCAACGAGGCAGTTCCTTCAGTGGAATGAACCGTTGTAGGGGCCTATGAAGAGGGAGCTGGGAGGGAGGGTGCATTCTAACATCGTTGATGAGTCTTTGGTTTCAACTGGTCCTCCTCCTCCTCCTCCCCTCCTCCTCCTCCTCCTCCTCCTCCTCCTCCTCCTCCTCTTTGTTCTTGCTCATCCTGATCCGTCTCATCGTCCTCCTGATTGTCCTTCTTGTGCCCGAGCGTCCTCTGTATCATTATCCAAACTCTCCTCCACCATCCATCCATGATCCTCCTCCTCCTTTCGCTGATCCTCGTCTTCTTCCCCCGTCACCCTGCCCCTCCTGATTGCACGCTGTGACCCTTCGTTCGTGCCGCCGCGGAGGCGACCTCGCCGCGGGCCTTCCAGGTTGAACATCGCCAATGACCCAGAGTCGGCCGAAATGGGACTAGGGGAACAAAAAGTGACATAAACATACAAAAACTCGGAGGTCCGCGCGGATTTCTCGGATCGGTGCTGGACCCCCTCCTTGGCGCGCGGAGCGCGCCAGGGGCGGCGCCGGAGGCGCCGCCGGGGGAACCCAGCGCCGATCCGAGAAATCCGCGCGGACCTCCGAGTTTTTATGTTTATGTCATTTTTAATTCCCCTAGGAACGAGGTGGCGATCGAAAAGCCGCCGATCGCTCGAGCGTGAACGAGCCACGAGGTGTCCGAAAAGCCACGCCGGGGCCGTCCCGGCGCGAGCTCGCCGCTCCCCTCCTACTACACACACTCCGCCCCCTCCCTGCGACCCTGGCCGCATCCGTCCTCCTCGCCTTCGTCCTCCTCCTCCTCCTCCTCCTCCTCGACCCTCTTCCTCTGCGAGTTGGTCTTCCTCCACATTTTCTTTCACCTTGCCCTCTCCGCCATCGTGGCGTGGGCGCCTCGGCGTAGTCCGTCGGGCGCGCGCCAGCGCGGCCGGCGGGAGACGCTCGAGAGGCGCTGCGCTCCTCCGCTGCCGCCAGCGGCCGAAGCCCGGCGGGCCGCGCTGCAGGTCAGATCCGGGCGTCGTGCAAGGGGGGGGGCGATACATCGGGGGGCGGCGAGGGCTGCAGAAAAGAAGGGGCGAGAAGGGGCACCGGACGCTGGCCTGACGTGCGCCCCGGCGTGCACGCGGCCGCTGGCGCTGGAGTCGACACGCCCGAAAGCTTGGCATCGCTCGGACGTGTCCATTTTTTCTCGGCGAGAACCATCGAGGACCATCCTGGACCATCGAGCGAAAAAAAAGAAAAACGCACGAAACCAAAACATGCACGGGAATTGGACGTCCGAGCGACGGCAAAAAAGCGATTTCTGCAGCCACCGACCGCGATTTGTCTCGAGCTGCAGCAGTCGCCGTCGCTGGCTCGCAGCGGGTTGCATCAGAAAGCGGAATGTTCTAAGGAGCTTTGCATACAGCTTCACGGCCAGGCCCGCATTGCCAGCATGCTCCCGGTCGACCCAGAGGGACGCCACGAGGACAGTGCGACCCCAATGGCCCAATGATTCTCGCGTTTGATTTCGCGGAGGCTCTCCCATCCGTGGCTCACTCGTGGGTACGAGCCGTCCTGGAATGTTGGCGAACCCCGCTTGACTCATCTGATGCTGTAGACAGTACCTATTCGCAAGCGGTGATGTTAACCGCCGGTACCGCTCGCTCGCCGCTTCATCAGATAGGGAGTGGTCGAAGTAAGTCGAGCATGCCCCTCTACAGGAGGAATAATCAATCAGATTAAAAAGCGTGTCTGGTGACGAGTTCGCGTGTTCTGCTGACAATGTTTGGTTACTGTTTGACTATTTTCATTATATTCCAAAGCCCGCCTGTAGAAGGACATGCCCGACTTAACGGGTAGGTTGCAGGGGGATTCTCTTGGCGGCAGCTTGTACGCTGTGTGCTCCCATCCCCCCCCCTCGGGGCTTGGAAACGCACCACCGTCAAGCAACATCGCCGTGAGCCCAACCTTGGCTTGAGCAGCGCGACCGGGGGATCGGCCAGTGGTGTGCCGACGATGGTGGGGGGTTCTGGCTGGTCTGGGGATCCCCCAGACGCGTGGTTCTCGCAAGCGTGCTGCGGCTCGTTCGTGAGATTGCGAACATCCGCCTCAAGGTCATGAACTGTTTTCGTGTGCATATATGGTGCTGCTTCTCTCTTTGAGCGTGGCGTCAATGGCCTGCCGGTTGCTCCAAGAAGCGTGTGGGGAATGTGCGGATTCCCGCGTTGTTCCTCTTTTTGCGTACCTCGGCTTTGAGCTGGGGCCCGTGGTTCCTGTGGGAGCCTAGTGGGCACGGCCCCTGTAGTGGCGCCGTCGGACGGCCGCGATCGCACACTCGGCCGCCGACTCGAGCCCCCGCCCGCCTATCTTCTCATAGAGCGGCGAGCACGCTGCCGTAGAAGTACCACCTTTTGCTCCTCCCTCGGCAAGAGGTGGCCGACGAGCCTCGCGTTCTCACCCGCCTCTTCCGGGCCCCCGGCTCGTGGCTCCTGCTTCCTGCCCGCATGGACTCGCAAGCTTTCGGCGGCCCTCCCGCCCCAGCGATAGCTGTGGCGGCGCGGATGCGCGCGGCTCCGGAGACTGTTGGCGTTGGGCCCCAGCTGTGCGCCCGCCGCCTTGCAGAGGCCGGGTAGCGCTCGAGGGGGCGATTCGTTCCGTCACGCGCGAGGGGGGGGGGGGGAAAGGCCCTTGGCCGACATTCTGGAATCAGCCTGGTTCGCGTTGGCGGCGCAGGCGTCCCCGTTCCCTGGGCCCTCGGGAGGGCCCTGCGGCTCGCTGCGGGCGTGAGCTCCTCGGGGGTACGAGGACGGCGGCACTTTGGACTGGCTCCGCACACCCCCGCATCAGCACGCGGCGGACCCTTCAGCGCGGGACCACCCCTGCGCCTTGCCTCTCCGAGGGCGCCCTCCTCCGCGCCATCCAAGACGCGGCTTGGCCGCTGGTTTAACCTGGGGGGGGAAGGGCTGCAGCGCGTGATTCGGGCGGATGCTCGGGAGGTGCTCAGCGCTTCCCCCCCCCCGTGAGGGATGCCAGCCATTCGCACCTGTACGGGCGGGTGGGTGCGCGACACCCGTCTTCGCAACCCTGGCCCCAGATGCACCATGAGCTGCGATGCCCCTGACTCTCTCGCTCACTGCGTGGGGTGCCCTCCACTCCGCACCCTGGCGGCCCTGGCTGCTGGCGTGCCGCTGCCGTCGCCGAT